ATGCAAGCAAAAAAAAATATAAAAGTGAAAAAATTCAAGATTATTAATTATCTAAATCATATTGTTTCAATTTCTTTTTCAAGTGTTTAGCTTTTAACTCTTTCTTAGCTTCAATTAATTCGGTTTCTAATTTTTTTTTTTTCTAAGTAATAAGAATAAAAAAAATAAATAAAGTAATAATAAATATTAAAAAAATATATATATATACTTTTTTTTAATTTAATAATTTGTTGTTCGACATCAAGATATCGTCTTCAATATATTCAATTGGACGTTTTCTTTTACTTTCTTTTATTTGTAAAACAGGAGCAGTAGTATCATTAGTTTGTAAGACAGAAGTAGTGATAGTAGTATCATTAGTTTGCGGAAATGTAGTGGTGGTAGTAACATGTTCATTAGTGAGATCTATAGAAGAGTTATCTGATGGTGTAGTTGGTTTAGACATAACAAAAATAGAATTTCTTTAAAGATGTTAGGCACAGTAAAATTTGTGATGTTTCAAAAAAAAATTTAAAAAAAAAGTTGGTATATATTTTAGAAAAAAAAATTGAAATGTCACAAATTTTACTGCGCCTAACATCTTTATGATATTCAAAATTTTAATATCGTATCATACTATTAAATCTATCAATACACATCATTCTTAAAGTTATCATAATTACTGATGTTAGAAATGATGTTTATCAATAATTACGATAACTTTAAAAATGATGTGTATTAATAGATTTAATAGTATGATACAATATTAAAATGATCATTATTATATACAAGTTTATACATAGATATGTATATACAACAATAATTTATATATAAATATAATTTGCATATGATCATTGATTGTTAAAGATAAGATGTCTGGGTCAAAACTATTAGATTTAGCCTGGCATTTAGTTAGTGATCTTGGGCAAAATTAGTTAATTCTGACTTTGCCAATTATGATTCTGAAGTATTCTGATCTGTTATTATTCATATTGTAAATTTATTTTATTGAAATTCTTATATATATTTCTTAAAACCTGTTTATATATGTTATAACTTTTACAAACTAGGAAAATCTTTATTTGGCCCTTAAACAGTTATTTTGTTGAATTCTAAGTTAAGAACAACCAAACTAAATAAACTGTTATTCTGTTGAATTCTAAGTTAAGAATAATAAGCT